TATATATATATATATATATATATATATACTACTATATATATATATATATATATATATATATATATATATATATATATATGTGTGTGTATATATGTAATTTATAGTGTATATATATACTATATTTATACGTACATATATGTATATATATATATATATATATGTACCTATAGAGATACCTTTGTATACATCTATGCATAATTCTCCACACATGCTTGTTATATAGACCAAAACAATCGAATGTGATTTGTATATATTAAAATACGTGTCTCTGTATAATGTTATGTACATGGTGGCGTTCTAAGCGTGAAGGTCTATCCTTATTCGACGAAATCTACGAAGCAATGATCGTCAAGAGTTTACCCCAGATCGGTATTCAATTACGCGTCACGGAAACTGTATACAGCCAATGACATAAAATACTACATAGCAGACCCCCAAATCCATACAACATGCTCCTCCAACCTGCCACAGAATAATCGCCAGGCATAGTCCTATGAAGCTCAAGACGATACATAATACGATAATGATATCAACATCAAGCGAAAGCGCCATGCTGTCACTCTGACGTTGCCCAGAAAGTGGTAGCACTTCTAGGGCTCCGATGGCTCTTCTTTAGGCATGCTCAGCTCGTGAAGTGCATGGTGCGGATGTACGGTAAAAACGCCCATGGACGATGGACTACTATAATGGATCCTATCCGACATCTGTACTGTATCAAATGTAATTCCGATACCTATTTGATAGGGGTTTTCAATGGTATGCGTGCATTGAAGTCTGCGACTGATTCGCAGATAGAACTGTTCGGTACTTGGTAGCGGGTATATGCATATATATATATTTAGTATTAGCTCAATGTTGGTATGATACACTAATAAATACACTATAATGTTTACCAATCCTCAGTCAAAAGGACCCCTTTATTATAAATAATATTATTTAAAATATGTCCTACATACATATTAACAAATAGGTATGTTTACATTCGGTAGTCCACATATTGTATATACATAAATAACGGCCAAGTGTACTGCATGCAAAATCGACAAGTATGCATGTTTGATACGCCTTGTGTCACGTTTCAAACGCGACAGATTGGTACGTCTATGCCAACCTCTAACGAATAGCTAGTATCTATATTCACTGGCATATACGCACGAATGCAGGCTCTTAATATGTACGTAAAATACACGATATCTCTAAGGTTATGTTAAGGTCACGCCCAGCCCCAGACCGCATAAAGGGCTCGCGCTCGACCACGCCGACATCTCTAATACCTACAATTTCCCCTTTAGCCCTAAACAAAGTACATGTCACACTACTGAGGCAACCGGATAGCATACCCCGCCAGCAAAAACGGCTGAGACATGTGTCTGGTATATGTGCTCGGAGTTTGTTGCATCCGCTGTTCAGAGAGCCTGGGGATGTGTACTATACACTGCACACATATACACAAGGCCATGGACATACACAAACAGACACACACACACACACATCGCCACCTGCACGGCCGCGGAGAGTATGCACGTGTATATACTCAGCATCTAGCCAACATCCAGACATAGATAGCCCCAGTGCCACACCCGTACGAGCCTCTGGCATAGACACCTTCGATGATGACGAGTTCAATCCACTACACGATAGTAGTGAAACCATAGATGAAAGTAGGATCACAGACACGGGAGTCTGCGAAGTACCCGTATATGTTAGTGAGATTGTGTACCGAACTTCCAATCCCACTTGGCGGCCGTTTGACCACACACAGCTGGCGGCTGGGGTAAAGCCATCTCTGCGCAGGTTTGTGGTACGTGTGTGGACATTAAATCCAGACGCACACGAAAGTGCATGTAACAGTGCCACACACAAGAGTGTGAGTGAGTATAGGAGTGTAGTAGGGGACGGAGACGATGGCGACGGGTGTCAGGAGATCACCTGTAGTAACTTAGCTCTGAGGAAGCACAGACATTGTGTGGTACATAGTAAGAAACCGTACACAGGATTTGTCAAAGATACACGGGCGAGGCATGAACAAGACCGATCACACTCCCGCACACGTAACTCTACAGGGCCGTTGCTGATAGCAGAATGGGACCTGAATATGTGTGACTTGGAGGTTATAGCGCCGTGTGTGCCGCAACATATGTGCCGGTCGCACGCAACGGACGTGTTCAACAACTTGATATTCCAGCCAAACACTCTGATCTTCCAATTAGACACGGACAAGACCATACCCGGCTCACAGAAGTGTGTGGGCTACTACACCACGGTTGATCAGTGGCCGTACAATCTGCAACCCGCGCACGTGCTTGAGAGAGCGCCACGTACGTATATTACACACGATAGTAAAGATTGGTTCAATGCAGATAAGGATAGGGATGGTGGTACACACGATTCGGGCCGGACTACCGCAAGCAAAGCAATAGATATGCCACACGCCAACGATAGGCGCGGCGAAGGCAGATCCAGCGACACTGAGACTGGGGCTGCACCCTCGCCGACGGATTCGGGTGCACGCGTGAGTGGCAACAAGGAGTTGGTAGTGGACAATAAAACAGGTAAGCATGGCCAGACCCGGGTGCGGGCTGGTCCCGGCACACGGACGTCAGATAGGGGTATGCAATCCACGAGGAGCTTGAGTAGCGCAAGTGTTAAAGGTAAGAAGGGAACACACTCACGTGCAAGTAGTCATACAAACTCAGGCTCTCGGGATGGGGACCAATTGAGTCCTAATCTAGGGGCGAGTGGTCGGGGGAGGGTGCGCACTTGTGCGAGTTATAGTGCAGATAGTTTCAGCCGGGTGAGATCGCTATGCGACGAGAGTAGACAATCAAGGAGGAATGTGGCAGATCTGGAGAGTCGTATGCTGAGGCTGATGCACAAGCGTGTGAGTACAAGCCCGCGCGAGGCTAGGCATTCGCGGACATGCAGCAATGCACGTGCACGCTCGAATACAGGCACACATGCGCATGTACACGCAGGTACAACTTCTACAACCTCACCCACACATACACCTATGTATATCGATGCACAACATACACACGCACACCCCAGTAGAAGCTCACATGGGCTTACCGGTACAGGCACACATGCAAACACAACACATACACATCAAGGTTCGAGCACGTGTCTGAGGCGCTTGGAGACCACGCGAATGAACATCGCACACCTCACACACAGTCTAGAGCTGGCTAGTGCGGGTCTACAATCCGACAAGCACGCCAAGTATCTGGTGGAGAATGAGTGCAAGTTGGTTCGCAAACGCTTGCGTACGGGCCGTGAAGTGCATAGACGCAACTGCTCTGCGCTGCAGACATATATACGCGAGACTGAGGCTGTGGTTTGGGAGAACACGTGTGTAGACGCGCTTATTGGGGTGCGACGGCAGCGGCTTGTGCGTCAGATATCGGAGATCTATCCCGTACATAGGGTATATAGTGTTGTATTTTAAGGTTGTGTATGTTATGTGATGTCTTACCTTTACGGTTGTGTATGTTGTGTGTCAGTTTGTAGGGTACGCTGTTTCATCTTTTACGTTTGTGTATGTCGTATACACCTACACCCTCTTGTGTGTAAGGGTTCAGGTACACCTACATCCCCTCCCGAGTAGCATCCCTTGTCTTGTATTCTACGGCTGTGTATGTAATTTGCCCGTATGTAGAGTATGTTATCTTGTCTTTCATTGTTGTGTATGTTTTTAATGTTGTCTTGTATTCTACGGCTATGTATTTGATTTGGCTGTAAGTAGAGTATGTTACCTTGTCTTTCACGGTTGTGATGCTGCCTTGTACTCTACGGTTGTGTATGTTATTTGCCCGTATGTAGAGTACGCTTCCTTGACTTTTACGATTGTGTATGTTATATGATGTTTAATTTTATTTTACGTTTATGTATGGGATTTACTCGTATGTAGAGTATGTTGTCTTGTGTTTGTGTATGTGTCCGTGTATAAAGTATATTGGTCTGTCGTTTTTGATTGTGTATGTGCCCGTGTATAAGTTATGTTGATATGTCCTTTACGTTTGTGAGCGTGTCCGTCTTGGCGCCTGTTGGCTTGTCGTATATGGTTTTGTGAGTTTTATACATAGGATATGTTTAATATATAGTTTTATACGCATGTGTGTGTGTGTGTGTGTGTACATACAAAGGTTATATTATCTTGTTTGCTACAATTGTGTATTCGCTGCGCAAATGATATGGTTCAGACACACATGTGGATGCAAGGGCAAGGGAGTTACAAAATGTAAGCGATTAGCTTGATAAATCAGAGTGGCTATGCATGACCTGACGATTAGGGTCAAGAATCAATATTATAGTCTACATATGTGATTGTATCTATGTTTGTATCTGCAATCTGCTCTTCCATATTGTTTGGCAACATGTATCTCCACGTATTGCTGTGTTCGTAAATGAGCACCATGCTTAGTGCCCTAAAACGCTATCAATTCTGTAAGTTGTCCGATAAAGCCTAACATGCGACATAATCGGCAATTTTGCCTCGTTATGTATCTCATGATGCTCGTCATAGTGATCAATATGATCCGTGTATTCGTATCTCATCATGCTCGTCATATGTGTTTGTAACGCCGCACTCTGTTATACCTCTATTCAGCTCCAAGGCGGCGTGTATCGGATCGCCAGTGTTGTCCTGCCCTCCATACCCGACATCTCAGGTAAGCTGTCTTTAGCTTCAGCCAAGACATGCAGAAACCCCATTGTAAGAAGATTGACATAAGCACACTGTGCCCACAAATAATTCACACAAAGTAATCACCGCCATGTTGAACTGTAGTACCGCTCTACCTACCCCACTCCACGTACACGCATACACAGCCGGTGGCGATGATGAGCGTGCTGCTACCGCGTTGGGGTTTGCTGCACACTTCTTAGTGGTGTTGGCTCGGCTGCTGGCTGTGCCGCTGAGATATCCCATACACCTCAAGGGCTCGCGGTCGGCTATACTGCAGCACACCACCCCCTTAGGGCCTCAAACGTACGTGTAAGTGCACTGGTGTGGTATCCGTATGTGTCTGTGTGCGTATGTGTGTCTGTGTGTGCATTTTAATAGCTTGAGATATCTCATGCACTCCAAAGGGTCGCGGTGGGCTTTACTGCAGCACACCACCCCTTTAGGGCCTCAAACGTACGTGTAAGTGCACTGTTGTGTTGTCCGCGTGCCTAGTGTGCGTCTTTGTGCGTCTGTGTGCCTTTTTCATATAGTTTAAGATATCCCAAGCACTCTGAAGGCTCTCGGTAAGCTATACTGCAGCATACCACCCCTTCGGGGTCTCAAACGTACGAGTATCTGCACTACTGTGGTATCCGTGATTGTGCGTGCGTACAAGTTTGTCGTGGTGCACATATACAACTGATACATATATTAGATGTACAGAATCGTTCTTAACCGGTGTAACGGGTTGAAATAGTGTCTCCGAGTGCATGTGTATTCTATAGGGGTTTTATGGATAACATTTGAACATGTCGATGTGAATTGTGCATTCTGGTAAGCTAATTACAAAGTATACTCTTACGCAATGTATAAGGACAAAGATCAGGACCGTAAGCAGTAAATCGATCTTTTATGCTGTAGTTGACTGATTCATAGTGTTATTGGCCACCTTCACACTTGGAGTTCGAAGACTAGTCACACCTTTACACATCTCCTCGCATCAGTGCCGTACACACGCCTACTTAAAGTATTGAATACTTTGGTAACCACTAAGTTAATATCCAGGCACGCACACAGATCTATAAGCTAGAATTATAAATCACGTTTTAAGTTATGCCTCAACGTTTCGAATGAAAATTATTGTCATCTACACCAGGCACTGATGCCAATTGATTGCAAATATGACTGACAGATGAATATTTACATGGATATCTCATCATTTTCAGGATATGTTTTGTAGCACGATGCAGGTGTGTTTTGTGCAAGTTGATGACACACATATTTGTTTTGTCCATTCATGTATACGCAAATAAAGTATATATCCGCTGTCACAGCAGAACCTGGTTTGGCACTACACGTGCTTACTTCCTGTGATACGTGTCACCACAGGTTCCCATTGTATGGGACGAAAGTCGACCGTGCGGCCTACCACAGAGGTGTGACTCTGCTGAACTGGGACTGTTATCAGATCATGGCCATAGCTGGGGTCAGTGGGTTTGATATGCGAGACGTGCTGAAAAACATACAACGGCTGGTGATTGCTGTTTCGCATTCGAATGTGCTCGCCGGCCTAAATAAGCTGGAGCGCGATGAACCGTCCATGATACTCTGTTGAGGGCGGTCTATGACAAGTATATGATAACACTCTAGCATAAAGTAAAGTTGGGTCTTGTGCACCACTTGGAATTGGTCTGATGAGATGCATACGTATGTTTAGTAGTCAACAAGCCGTGGCTTCCGCACGTTGGATATGTATGGTGTCTAATGGTAGTGGTAATGTAAATGTATTTTATATTCTAAATATCTACTATCGCGCTAAGAAGTCCTGAAAAAGATGCCTGATTGTTTAATCTCGAATTTGGAACCCCAATTAGACCATGCCGGCTCTGGCATCCTCAATGAGGCTCCTCATTTCGGCATACCTTGGCAAGGGGTCAAGAGTCCTGCACGAGGCAGTGAATAATAGCTCTCAACTTTGAATACAAGATACACGCATATGCTCACCTTAGCAGCGAGTCTGATGGGATTTCTCTATATTGATGATCCATTCCGGGTTTTTTTTGTGTTGGATACAAGTCTATTTCTTGGTTTCATATATACAAGACTGTTGTGTCGCAAAATTGGGTTCGGGATTTTTTTTTTCTTGCCACGCATTCCTATATATCGAGTGATGCTCGTGAGCTGCCACATTTTCTCCGGATTGGTACTTCATCACAAATTATATAATTGTAACAAAGTGTGTACGTATTTATATGTTTGCTTATATGCGTGAGTTCTCTGTGTGTACAGATGCTACTCTTGGTTCTACATTCCAAAATAACATGTGCATTCTTTACAGTCATTTACTTATATGTCATGTGGGTTCACTTGTTCTATATCTGACCCAAGTACCGTAAACAAGCGTATGAAGGCGTTTATATAGTCTATGGAGTGCTCAGTGGTCTTGTTTGCTTTGTGTTGGTGGTAGTCCCGTCTCTTTACCGCTTCTTCTCCAATATCTGGTTGAATATAACATGTCGAATCCAGTGAGTGATAACAAAAAATCATAGTACTTATTCTGTTTACGAATCGTCAACGAAAAGCATCTTTGTAAGGTATCGGGGACTTAGCTTCTATTGTTCGCTTGTTCAAATTAGTTGTGGTTCCCGAAGTGTCTTGTTGTCCTTAATGGCGAGCGCTGAATCCTTCGCCTGCTGTTGTTCGTTCTCTTTGCACATCCTCGGTCATGATGGCACGTTCGCTTGCATATCCGCGCACCGCAAAAGATTGATAGGTAAAGTATGCCAAGTCCACTTCCGTTGAGACTGTTTATGTATGTATTGGTACGAATCTTCGTGAATATACCAGTGTCACATACGTGATGGTGGGATCTGCGTGTCATTGCGAGTTATAGTTTTTACATACCAACCTGGTGTCTTAGCGTTCACATCCAACTATATCTTGGGCAAACGGATGGTACGTCACGACTAAGACTGCAGGTTCCACATGTCAAACTCACGGTAGCCGAATTCACACGCCAAAACATCAATGAGTTCGTCACACTATTTGCGTTATATAATTTATGTTTATATATATATATGTTTATATATATTTATATATATTATGTATATATAT